ATCGGTCTAGCAAAGACTTCAGTCTGACCCACTGCACAGCTGTAAACACTGAAGGTGTAAACTTGGCATTTTCTCTACATTTTACAGCTTTTTCCGATAGATAAAGGGCACTGATACTACACTAACATAATAAAACAACAGAGGAACAGTTAAGTCAGATAACTGTGTCAATTAAAAATGTCCAGTTTCAGAATTATAGGTCAGTAAGTGAGCTACCAGAACTTTACTAATTGATCTGAGACATTTTCTTAGAATTTAATTCCAGACAGTCACGCTGACAGATTTCTTTCTTTATCATGTAGAAAAGTTGAGACGTCCTGTTTTCCTTATTTTAAGATACCTCGGAGTCTAACTTCTCTATGGATAAAGGTGGGCTGTATGAGCTAAATAAGTTCAACATCACTGATCGTCCTTACTGTCTGTGGAGCTATGTGATGAACACTGGGTGGACAGTCTGAAGGTTGACTGTGGGCTTCTCCAAGGTTAGTTGTTTACACTGGTTTGTACTGGTCTGGGAAACGTTTGGAAATTCATAAATGAATGTATGACACACTAAACTATTTAGTTTTGTATGTAGTAATATTATTGTGTCTATTACAGCTACTACTAATGTTATACTAATTACTACTGCTGCTATAAATAAAAAAGATGCATGTAGACACATACTTCACCTGATTATATGCTTGTTGTCATCATTGTTATTACTGTATTATAATAAGCCGAAGCACCAGCCTGCACCTCTACACTCACTCATTTGTGTTGTCTGTTGTTATTTATGTGATTATTGGTGTCAAAACATGAAAAGTGAAACGACACCAGGACGTAACATTACACAGACAACATGACAGAAAGGACTTTCAGTGAGAACCTGACTCTGCCAACACTGCACTGCAGCTGTGAAATAAATGCACGCACATGAAGATACAACACACATTAAAAGTATACATATATATACACATACACACACACACGTGTGTGTTTGATCAATTACAGATGTGGAGCCCTTAACCCCCCCTCCACCACACAAAGCACCAGGGCAGCTCTCCTCACCTCGCTTTGGTTTCGGGAAGCTTTCGTGCAGATGAAAAACCACTTTCTCCACAAAGTGCTGGATGTTGCTGTGCTCTGGTCCTCGCACAAACACCATCCAGTCGTGGGTGAACCCTTCCACCGTGGGTTTCTTTCGGACCTGGGCACGATGACCAAGTTCCAGTTTCACCTGTACAGCACCCTGCAGAGCACAAAGACGCAGGGTTAGCGTTACTAAAGACGGGTCCATGTTTCGTGCAGGTGTTTGTTCCTGAAACACTGAGTCTGCTGCTGTCCAACTGTGTCCCTCTGAGCTGAAGCAACAGGTCGCTTACACACGACGAGCTGAGCTGCTCACACTTCAACCTTCGTGTG